GATCACCAAGCTGCTTGGTGAGCTCACTCTGGAGCAGGCCACATAGAACTGTCCATGTGAGAAGCAGTCGTCTGTTAAGTCAGTTCCTGCCACCTTCAGTGTCTGGCCTTGGGACTTGTTGATGGTCATAGCAAAGCAGATCTTGAGGGGGAACTGCAGCCTCTTGAACTCGAAGGGGTTTTCTGATGGTATGAGTGGTATACATGGTATGAACACCGACTCTCCCCGAGCACTGCCAGTGAGCAGTGTGGCAGTCTAATGCAAATTGCAGCGTTTGGATGAGTTGAGGTTCTACAGCAGCATTAAAGTACCCTGGCCTGCTCAAACACCTGACAAACACCCGCCTGTCTGGTGTAAGAGGGAGGATTGTGTTTAAAGGCACTGGGGTGGATGGGCCAGCAGCAGCGCTAAGGCAATCCTGCTGAGCAAGCCTCCCCGATGGCCTTAAGGTATCCACGCCCCTTCCAACCCTTGAAAGGCAGTTATCTGTCAGGTGTAGAAGGGGTAGATGTCTGAAGGCATCAGGGAGGCTGGCCCAGCAACATTGCTGCACCTCACAGGTGGTTAGGGTTGCCAAACCGGGGTCCCCCATTTTGGGGGAAGCCCCACCCCCAATACCCACAGCCACCCATCTCTCTCCCTTTAAGGGTGTGCAACCCGTGTTTCATCCCAAGCACGAACTCCGCAAGCTTGCAGGGAAAAGCCAGCTTCGTTCTTAAAAGGGAAACACAGCTTCTCTTAAAGGGGAAACGCTGGCTGTCGGCTACTTTAAGTGCAGGGAACTGCTGTTTCTGGAGATCCGGCACACGGCCGGGGGCAGGGGGGCAGCAGACGTCCCCAACGTGACATCATCACGTTGGGGATGCCCCACGCCTTCCAGGAACTCCCCCAAAGTCCCCCGCTGGGGGTGGAAGATGGACTTGGCAACTCTACAGGTGGTTGGCCATTCCCGATTTCCTCAGCTGTCATTAGCTCTATGCAGTCTCCTTTAACTGGGTTTTTTTACTGAGCTCTGCAGCTGACCAATCGGGGGGGGGTGCAAGGAGGCAGTGGCCTAGCAGCCACATAGGAAGCAATGGGGAAGCACATTTTACCCCGTTTGACCACCTTAGGGGTCAAATTTCTTTAAAAATCCCTTCTTAGTGAGCATCTACATCATCGTAGGATTTTGTGTTTCCCTGAATTTTGTGTTTCCAGGTCCAGGGGTTTGGCCTGGGTGTTGATTTTACGGTGAGGGGACTTTCTTTTATACATGTAGATGGTCCCCATAGGGTAGAATGGAGAATTGATCCAGGGGTATCTAGGGCTCTGTGGGGGCTGCTTTTTGAGGTAGAGGCACCGAGTCACTGCTTGGAGAAGGTGTTTAAAGGGATTGCCTTCCCCTTAAACACCTTCTGGGTAAACTCGCCACTTCAGAGTTCACTCGTGGCATGGCTTGCAAAAGGCATTTAAAGAGAACACGGTCCCTTTACATTCCTTGGAGAGCCAGTTTGGTGTAGTGGTTAAGTGCGCGGACTTTAATCTGGGAGAACCGGGTTTGATTCCCCACTCCTCCACTTGCACCTGCTGATGTGACCTTGGGTCAGTCACAAGCTCTGGCACAGCTGTCCTTGAAAAAGAGCCGTTTCTGTCCGAGCTCTCTCAGCCCCACCCACCTCACAGGGTGTCTGTTGTGGGGAGGGGAAGGGAAAGGAGTTTGTAAGCCACTCTGAGACTCCCTTGGGTAGTGAAGGGCGGGGTATAAATCCAATCTCTTCTTCTTCTTCTTCTTCTTCTTTTTCAAGTCGCGCTGCGAATGAACTCCAAAGTGGTGAGTTTACCCGGAAGGTGTTTAAAGGGAAGGCAGTCCCTTTAAACACCAGCTATCTGGTGGCCATGAAAAATCCAGAAAATATTTTGGGCTGGGGCCAATAGCTTTAGACAATACCAAGCTTTAGACAATACCAAGCTATATATTTGGTTGAAAATATATCCAGAAAATACCGATAAGGTATTTTTTGGGTATTTTTTTGTTCAGTGTTGTCTGAATGCACAGCCCTAATTCTCAAATAAATATTTAACCTTACCTTGCAACATTTAATTTTTATTGCAAAATCAGACTCTCTCTCTGTATGTGTCTTCCTTGTCTCATTCTCACTCTTTCTTTATCCTTCTCTTAAAAAAAACACTTTAAAAATGGTGTGATGCAGTCTTCCAGCTGTGAGTCACAGGAATGATGTTGGGATGGGATTGCTGAAAAGGGGATTGAAATGCTGAGCTATCATTCTTTCTAGTTGAGGCCGAAGCACAATAAATCTTGACAGCAGGACAATACTTCAAACATTAGTTACTCAGAGCTGCAGCTGAGATTCATGGAAGCTTCTTTTCTTTTTTTAAAAACTAGGGCTAAGTTAAAAGGTTGACTGATGTCTTAGGGCTTTGACCTGATTAGTCCTATCTTGTTTGAACGTGGAGGGCTGTTAATTTGAGAGTGGTCCATGGTGAAGATGGGGCTTTCCCCAAAAAAATGTTCTTAACAACAAGGAAGCGTTTTGACATATTTTGAAAGTGCTTGAGAAGATCTGAAATGCGAAAAATTCTGCTCATTCCACTGATAAAATCCCCCCCCCTAAATTATCAAGTTCTATTGAAGATAATAAATTGTTAGATATAAAACATATGAGCAGAGTTCAACAGAAGCTGTGAACAAGGTATGACCTTATCCTGGTCAAAATGTGCCACACAATACAAGCCCTTCCATGCAAGGAGCTTCTTTTGAAGCTTCTTTTGTATTTGATTAGATGTAAGCCACGCTAGTCTCACTTTTCTTTCCAAACGTAGTGATTTCAGTGCTGCCATCTTGTGGGCCAATTGCACAGCATGCGAAAACTTGGTTTGTCATTAAGCAGCCACGATACAGTAAACGTTTTACAAAAAGAAAAAATAAGCAAACATCCAAATGAACTTATCTCATATTGGCTAAGAGTCACAAGGAGGAGGGATAGATACTTTATTCATTTCACATGGATATTCTACTTAATTGTTTTGCACTGTGGATTACAGTTGCATAGACAGACCAGTACCTTGCCAGCTCCAGGTTGGGAAATACCTGGATATTTGGGGGGTGAACCCTGAGGAGGGTGGATTTGGGGAGGGGAGATACTTCAATGGGATGTACTGCCATAAAGTCCACTTTCCAAAGTGGCCATTTTCTCCAGGTGAGCTGGAGTTGTGATCCCAGAAGATCACCAGCCACCACCTGGAGGTTGGCAACCCTACATCCAGCTGTACTTGAGAGCATGTAGATAAGAATGCTCATCAAAATGCATCCGACTGAAAATAATGCAGTGCAGAGATTTTTTTGTGTTTTAGAAAGTGTATTCCCTGACATTAATATAATGCAAAAAACATTCCAACAGTAAAAATCACGTTTTTTGCACCTTTAAGAAAGCATAAAAATGCATTAAAACTAATAGAGAAAACTCCTAACATTGGCAAGCTTAAAAAATGTGTACAAACAGATTGAGAGAGGAAACCATCAAATTACCTATGGAACAAAATAGTCTTTACCAACTTTTGGAAAGTCAAGAGCAGGGTGAACTTCCTGGGGCAAGATGTTCTGCTATGGAGGGAGGTCATCTGTCCCCATGCTGTGCCAGTGCTTCTTTGCTTGTGTTCTGAAAAGTACTGAGACTTACTAGTGATTTCAGCTCTCATACTTTATTTCAGCTCAGAACAAGACGAGAGTACCCAGCTCGCAGGCTGGTTTATATGTGCACAAACCCCGCTCCCCAAACACACCCACACACCAGTGATTGGCTATTTACAGTGGCCGAGAGTTCCATAGGCTCTCGGCCAAGAGCCTAGCCTGCCGATAGGTGCCGGCTAGGATCCGCTTGTCCCATTGTTACTGAGAGCGAAGCTCGGTCGCTTCGCCTGACCGCGTGGCGAAATGGCCGCGCACGCGGTCTGATATGGATACATTACATGTTCAATAAAAGCTGTGGCCAATTTTCATTCCATAAATCTGTGTCTGGGTCTTCCTTTTGCATGCCTGCTCCATTAGGACCTTGGGCACGCAACTGATATACCCATGTAAGCTACTGCTGGACACGCCTCACCATTCCTGGATTGGGTTACAAAAATACATATTATTACAACATGGGAATAAATGTTGTGGAATGCTCATAAAGCATGCTTGAAACATAGAACATAAATCCATCCAGATTTGTTACCTGTTTGGCAACTGCCAATTATACATAGGATCTGAAGCACGTAAAGAAGCACGTATATTAGAGCCTCTACTTGGCACTCAGAGCAGCCAGGCTGAGATGACAGAAGGGATTGCAGAAGTGCGTAATCTCTTAATGCTTTCCCCAAAGACACTGTCCCTTAAACCCCCATTAAGGCCTGCATGGTTTACTTTGTCCAACAATGGATCAAATGATGACTGGCACTCGCAGGACCACCAACTGCATTAGCCCTACCAAAACAAAAAAATAAAATAAAATGAGATTTCAGATCCAGTTTTATAATGAGAAAACCATGGAAGATGTCAGGAGTCTTTAGGAGACACTTGGAGTTGGCACAACCTGCCAGGGCCGGCCCCAGCTTATTTTGCACCCTAGGCGAGGATCCCTTCTGGGGCCCCCCCCCCCCGTGCCCACCATTTCCCAAAAATAAATGCATTTTTGGAAGAATGAAAAACACAAATAATCAAGAAACTCTCAGAGTACGGGGCTGGGTGCAGTTTGGCACCCCTAAGGGCCGGCCCGCTCTAGGCGATCGCCTAGTTCGCCTAGTGAGTGAGCCGGCCCTGCAACCTGCTACCTAGCATTGGTTTCTGCCTTTTAAAAAATACAGAGTGGTATGTGGAATTGCCATTGCGCTTGACCTGAGAGCAGCTTGGATGGATATATAACAGGAACAGAACTATCACTGTCATTTTGGTTCATTCAGGGAAAGA